AATTAATGTATCGGAGTCGCGTTAGGTCGAGCTCGAAATTCGACTTATTGTTAGAACGGCTTGTCGATTTTAAGCGTTTCGTCGAGTTGTCATACTTCACGTCGTTCTCTTCTATCTCCTCCTTGCTCGTTACCTCCGGGATGCAGCATCTCTCGTCGCCGTGGCCGTTCCAGTATCTCGGGCAGTACGGCGGATCGGGATTGCTGAAGCAGAAGGATCCTCTAACGTTGATCGGGGTGTGCTGTCCCATCGTTACGTATTCACCCGCCCGGGCGGCGGTTCTCGGACCCGACGGGCATCTCCTGGAGCAGGACTCCGCGATCAGGCTCGTCCCGCCGTCGTCCACGCTCTGCGCCATGAAGCAGACCGCCCACAGGTGGCTGCACAGCTGGTACATCTCCCGATCCGCGCAGAATGGCTGCACCTTGCCGCCGTTCACGCAAAAGTCCACGTGGCCGACGCGACCGACCTCGCCGTAGTATCCGGCGTTGGTGTGCATCACCTCGACGAAGTCGGCGTCGCCGGCGTCCAAACGGTTCACCAGACCCGGTCGGACAAGCGGACGCGCGGGATCCAAGCCGATTATCCTGCGAAGAGCATTGCATCAAGATTTTAACGCATGTTGTCCGTATTGCGAGTAGAGCATCCTATATATATATATGTAATAGAATTAACCCTTCGTAGTCCACTGGGTCAATTTGACCCGCGCTCATTAGGTACAGACCGTAAACCATGTATTCGTTCACGATTTTTTTTCAACATATTGCCATTTGATTTCTCACAAAACCGCAGTTGTTTTATATTCTAGAATGTTCAAGGTATGTTCCAGAATTATTTGAACCCGATCGGACCGATACCATTAAAATGGCAACCATTCAAAATCGAGACTGGGTCAATATGACTGAGTATGACTAGAATGGGATTCTAGAGAAGTGTGACTACGAAGGGTTAATTTATACGAAGTGTTTTTTTGCTCACGGTTGTAATAATATCTTTTTCGCATTTGCAAGTTAATGTTTAATATTTTTCACACTCATTTTGCGTTATTTTGGCCGAATTAACGGCCGAACTAACTGCCGAACGTCAAACTAACTGCCATATTATGTCACAAACGCCGAAAGTACACGTCATAAATTACCTGCGCGCGTAACTGTTTACAAAAGTAATATTTACCTGTGCATTCTGAAGAGAAGATAATTAGCCATAATGCCGCAAACGTGAGCGCCCAGTGAATGCCCGACGCAGGTGGTTCTGGCGATCGGCAGGCCAAGATGTCTTAAGGTCGTCAGGGTGCCGGCGAGACACCTCGCTACCGATCGTACATTCGCCACCGCGGCCGGGTAACACGGCCGGGCGCATAAAGCCCCCCAGTCGACCAGGAACACATTATAGCTGCCGTTCCTCAGGTAAGCATCTCGTAAAATCGCCATTGGCAACGCGTCATCGCCACCTGTGGATCGATATAAAGATTAATGAGACATGGTGCTAAATCAAGGGTATTTCCATAGAAAGCTGTTTAAAAGACGTCGCCTTTTTAGGTGACCCTAACAAGCGCGTGGAAAAATTTGAATGCCCTTCGATCTTCGAATAAAACGCTCCTCCGTTCGTTTCACATTCCATTTTCAGCACCGGAGTATAAGTTTTCAAAAATTTTATTCAGTTCTTTTTTTTGGAAAATAGTTTCTTGTTTTAGAATCTGAATATATATTTCAAACACGTTCCCTTTTGTGGAAAAAAGTAAAAAATTCCACAACTAATATTCAGCTAAATCGAAACGAAATCCCGTCAAATCGCACAGAGAGACTATATTTACTTTCATTATATATCATATATCCATTTTCATTTTAAATCAAATCAGAAATTTTTACGCTGCCAGTAAATAATTAACAATAAAGATGTTTTATTCGACCTAACTGACCATATTTATCAATTATAATCGTCACGACGTTTTGACCGTCGTTTTTTACCCTTCTCAACCAATGTAACGTTTGACGCTAATAAACATTCTCTTTTTAAAATAGTGCAGATTTTCTTCATTGTGTAATATAAAGAATTTTTCTTTTCTTTTATTTCTGAGCACACACAAATTCACTCTACTCGACGTCTGATAATAAAGACCAATTCCGAATATACATTCCAAATTATTCCATCGAGCGACAATTCCAAATATTTTCCGGGATAAAATTTCAGGTCGAAAACACACAGACTCCGAGAGCACCTGCGTATCCGTGAATCAGGATCGCGCTGTCTTTGGTGGGTTCGTAATCCTGCCGGAGCCAGTCCGACTGCTCCAGGGGGTCGAGCAGGCGTCGCGGACGGCCCGGCGTGTACAGGTACACGTGCACGTCCGGATCCGGGCAAACGTCACGGTCGTGTCTCCAGACGCAGTCGTCCTTGTTGTACTCGGCGGCGGCTCCGCTCTCGATCGCGTCCCGTATCGGTCCTTCCCTCCTCGTTTCTCGCCACGCGATTATGTGGGTGCAGACCCGCGTCATCAGGAACGACGCCGCGAGGACCGTCAACGCCATGGGCGCGCGCATCTCGCCGAGGGGGTCGTCTTCGCGGGTGTTTGTCGAGATGCGTGCCTCGCGCCCACGCTTCAGGAACTGAGCGACGCGGTCGTTCCGCGGTGACTTCGTCGCCGAATCGTCGCCACCCGGGATACCGTTTTGTTCTCCACGGTCTCCCTTCCTCGGGGACCTTACCTTCCCCACCTGCGTAGTTCGCGCTCGCCGGATGACTATCGTACGTTATGGAACATTATCATATATCTCTTCTCGGCTTCTTGAATGAATGCTGTTCATTATTAAACGAGGATGAGATCCTTTCGCCGGAGCACGCACACCCGTGCGAAAGGAGGAAGAGGTCCTCCAACTTTCGACCTTGCGTTCGATGACTAGTTCCTGTTGACCACGTTCCGCGCACGTAGATCCGAGTACGCGTTATGAAAGTATATTAGGAAGATTTATAAATATTCATGTGGATCCGCGTCTAACGGATATTGCGTCCACATCAGAAATGTTAAATACGGTATGTAAGGTGTTTTGAGTTTCTTAAGAAATTGACAGAAGAAGTTGACATTCGTTTCGTTAAAGAATTTCCATGATTGACGTTGAAACAGAAACACGAAATATGAAAGAAATATATAAAAAATATACTTTCTCGAAATATATATAAAAAAATATAAAAGAATCTTTTATATATATGTAATGTATATTTTTTTATTACAAGGCATCAGTACGCAAAATGTGTGTATTGTTATGCCGGTTATGCGTGCTTCAGATATCCTGTATTTTGTATTTCTTAAAAAATTTACAGGACAAATCTAACGTTCGCATTTTATGATTAACGTTTAAATAAAATAGACAAATATATATAAGAAAAGATTCTTTCATTTTTTATTACAAGGCGTACAGATACATAATACATGTAACGTTGTACAGTGGCCTTCGAATGTCCCATATCCTTTCTTCTATTTTGGGAAAAGAGAGTGCTCGCACAAGATTGTTCACATTTATGGGAAGTGGGTTAATGAACCAGATATATGTATATCGTTCTTGCAGTTCTTGCAGAACTAACCGAAAACTTGACCCTGAGACCACATTATATAATATTAAGATCAATCGACGTAATACAGTTTCGTCATACTGAAAAAGAAGAAATGACATGTCACAGCAGCAGCAGCTTTTTATAAATGACGCGGTTATTTGGCTTAACATTTGGGCACGCGAATTCGCATTGCCCAACGAATACCGCTTTAAATTATGGCCCCTTATTAATATCTGAGAAAAACGAGAGTGTACATCATGCATAATGCACGCACGACGATCAAGTGAGTTTGCAACAAAATAAATCGAAAATTTAAATAAGATAAATTTCGTATTGGAAAGGTATACTTAATATTGCTTAATAAAACGTTTTGTAATAATTACAATATCGATACGCAAAGCGTTGAGTGAAAGTATCCGAAAAGTTCAATCCGAATGGACCTCGAATGTC